GAGGCATGAAACTGGGTAAGCGATGTCGGGGCGAGTGGTTCGCATAGCGTAGTTGAGTTCCCCGATAGTTCGGCGATATGGGATTGACGCAATGGCGTCCGCTTCTTCACTCGTTGGGGGGCGAGTGGCCTTCTGCAAGGTTACTCCAGGTGTCATAGGCGTACTGACGGGATTGCACAGTGTCATGCCGGCGTTCTTGAGAATCTTCTCAAGGTAAGCCTTCTGGCTAATGGTGAGGAGCCTCTTCTCTCGGTCGCGCGTAATGTGCATGCCAAGGAAGTGGCGAGCGGGACCGAGATCTGATAAGTCGAAGCGTCGCTTTAGCTCTGTCTTGAACTTGTCCAGGTAATCGCGAGAGTTCGACGCTGCGAGCATGTCGTCGACGTAGACGACTAGCCATATGACTTTGTCCCCCTCGTGGAGGACATATAGACTGTGGTCAGCTTCGCTCCTTACGAATCTGAACCCCTCTATCCGCAAGTACTCATCCAGCGTCTGGTTCCACTCATACCCTGCCTGCTTCAACCCATAAAGCGCTTTCCTCCAGCTTCCACACCCAGTCCGGATGTTCAGGGTCTTCAAAACCAGCCGGTTGCTTGAGGTAGATGTCCTCCTTGAGGTCAGCGTTGAGGAAGGCAGTACGTACGTCCATCTGGTCTAGTTCAAGGTCGAATTTCGCCGCGAGGGCGAGGAGAATACGAACCGTGTCGTACTTGGCGACAGCCGCGAACGTTTCTGTATAGTCGATCCCCTCGACTTGCGTGTATCCCTGCGCAACGAGGCGTGCCTTGTGACGTGTGATGTTGCCTTCTTCGTCAGTTTTTACCGTGAATACCCATCTCGAACCAATCGCTTTGCGTCCTTCTGGGAGTGGCGTGAGTTTGTGAGTTTTGAGGTCCTGCATTGACTGCAGCTCAGATTTGCAGGCGTCTGACCATTGAGGCCACTCAGGTAATGACCGAGCTTTGTTGATGGTTTCGGGTATGATTATGTTTGAGCGTTTGGGAGGTTCGGTAGCTGTGTGCATTGCGGATTCGGTACTGTCGTTGTCGTGCTGACTGGTCGAGGACTCTGGTACATATGTCCAGCGTTCGGCGACGGGAACTCGTCGCGTTGGTATGGCCGTTGCGCTGGTCCCAGAGGGTGCGATATGACCTGCTTGTACCGGTTGGCATGAACGAGTGCTGCGACGCGGAACATCTGAAGGAGGTGCAGGAGGAGGAGGTACTGGAGGTTGCTGTGGGGGGATAAGCAGTGTTGCCTGTTCGGTTGGGCCAGGGATTGTTGGCGGATCGTTATGGTCAGGTGGGTTGTCACGTTCTCCCACTGACACCTGTGGTACGCAGTCAGCAGGGGTCAATAGCGGTGGCTCACCAGCCTGTGCTCCCACTGGCTGAGTGACACCTCCCACCGATGAAGTGGCACCAGGGAGATCCGCCGAGTCAAGAAGGAGAGGAGCGAGGGGTGAGGAAGCAGGATCCCCGTAGAATACGTGTTCATCGAAGTGGACGTGACGGGAACGCACGACGCGTTTGGTAGAGGGATCCCAGAGAGTGTAGCCTGCATTCCGCACATGGCCGAGTAGGAAGCAGCGACGAGAGACAAAGTCGTACTTGCGACGAGTGTCCTCTGGTATGTGCGCATAGGCAAGGCAACCGAATGGACGAAGGTAGCCAACATCCGGCTTGCGACCATAGAACGCCTCAAAGGGTGTGCGACCAGCGAGAGATGAGGAAGGGAGCATGTTCTTGATGTGGGCTGAGTTAAGAATCGCCCAGCCCCAGAACGAACGCGGGAAACCGCTCAGGTGGTGCGAACTGAGTGCACGGGTGACGATGGTTTGGTGTCCGCGTTCCGCGACGCCATTCTGTTGGGGAGTGTAGGGCATGGTGGTCTCATGCTCAATGCCATGTTCCCCAAGGTAGGCCAGAAACTCCCTCGACATGTACTCGCCTCCGTTGTCACTGCGAAGCCGTTTGACGCGCCCCCCAGATTGTGTTTCTATCCAGGGGATAAAATTCCGGAAACGATCAAAGACCTCGGATTTGGCACGCATCAAGTAAACTACGGAGTACCTTGTGTAGTCATCAGTGAACACCACAAAGTAGTGATCACCGGTAGAGGAGGTGATGTTGACCGGTCCCCAAACGTCAGAGTGAATGAGGTCAGCTGTCGCTTTAGCGCGGCGTGCGATGGTAGGAAAGGGAAGCCGTTTATGTTTTCCCATAACGCAGGACACGCAATGTATCGTGTCGGCGCCGCCGACGTCATGATGCAGGGTGGTCTCATCGATGTTCATCCCGCTGACATGTCCCGTGGCCTTCATAATGGTCGAAAAACCAGCATGCCCAAGGCGACGATGCCACGTATTAAGAGATGGAGGCATGGACTTTGTGAGCATTGCGCGTGCAGGGGTGGAATCAACCGTATGGTACGTTGCATCCAGCAGATACAATCCGTCTTTCTGGTGCACGTGGGCGATGTATGGCCCATTGCCGTTGTTAGAGCGCAGCGTTCCTCCTTCAGAAGTAGTCGCGAAGGATATACGAGCAGAGGCGAGGGTGGATACCGAAATGAGCGTACAGCGCAAATCGGGGACATGCAGGAACTCGAGCTCGTGTTCCGTCAACGAATCACCAAACCGCAGTACAAGTTTCACTTTACCCCATCCTGGAGCTAACACCACATGCTCATCAGCTAAGGTCACACGGATAGGTTCACGCAGTTTCGTATAGTGAGAAAAGCGTGATATTTCAGGCTCCATGTGAGCCGTCGAGGCAGAGTCTACGTGGAAGGACCCAGCCGGTAAAGCAAGGGCTGATGAGATACTGGCTGAGTGATCCTTCAGCGTAAGGACGAATGGAGGTGGTATGGTAGACTCGTCAGTTGGGTCTGGCAGGGAGGGCACCGGGTTAGCGGCGGTTGTGGCAGGGGAGGAAGGACGAGGTGCTGACTTTGGAGTTTTGTCGTCCTTAGAGAGCCGTGCGCGACACTGTACCCAGACATGGCCGGCCTTTTGACAATGGCCGCACTTAGGTCGCCATCCTACTATCCACCCATCTCCTTTTGTCTCATCAAAACCTTTCGGCGGGACACGATCGCTGGTCTTGGGGTTGGAGGAGTTTCCTCCTCGATGTCCAGACAGCATGGCCACATGGTCACTGCCACTGGTTCCAGCGCGGTGTAATTCCTGAGTCTTCAGGCGGTTGACGACATCGCTGAAGTCCAGCGAAGTATCGCTGTTGACGAGGGTTTGACGAAGGGGGTCGTAGTAGTCAGGTAGGGTGCGCAACAGGACGTGCACGAAGATCGCGTCCGGGATCTTGTACTCGTCCTTTGCCGCAGTTGTAACGACACTGGAAGTGGAGGGTGCGACTGCTGTGGTGACAGAGAGAGCTGCAAGGTCGGATTTTAGCACGGTGAGGGTTTGCATAGTTTGGGCGATGGAGGAACTATCATGCGCCTTGGGAATGGTGAACAGGCGGTCCAGGTATTGATTGAATCGAATAGCCTTTTGGGGAAGGTACTTCTTTTCTAGAGCAATCCACGCCATGTGCGGGTCATCTATATCGCGGAGGTGGACGAAGTCCTGCGCATCAATCGCCGTGGACATAGCGCTGAGGGCGAGAAGTCGGCGTTGTTTATAGACTTGTACTCGTTCAGCGTGTTTCTCTGCGCGAATGATGTTTTGATCCACGTCCGTGAGTGTGGCTGGGGGGGATGGCTCCTTCTCGTCGCCGTTGACATATGGCCATAGCCCAATGCCGCCGGACCACATTTTAAAGCCAGTGGCCCATTGAGAATAGTTGGATCCGTCGAGGGTGAGCTTCTCATGCGGATATCGTTCAGTTTTGGGAAGGGAGTCCGAAGACGACATGGTAACGTCAGAGCCGAGTATTATCGGCGGGAATGAGAGATTTTGAGGAGAAGATGGCGCTACCCTTTAGGCAGGGCTCATAACCTGTTAGAGAGCGAGAACTAAGGTAACGCGAGTCTCAGTCAATGGAAGAAAGACTAGTTCATGTATGCTAACCTAAGGTAACGCGAGTCTGTAGGGCGCTAGTAAGTATCATGTATAGTATAATGTGAATGGTATACGCACCTCAGTCAATGGAAGAAAGACTGAGGTGCGGGTGTAGCGTCTAGCCATCCTTAAGTAGCAAAGAGAAAAATGGTCAGTAACTAGGGTGGATGACAGTCAGTAACAGTGGCAGCTAAGGTACATAGAACTGGAACCCTTAGATATATCTATCTGGAACCGGCTCAGTGCTCTGACGGATCACCTCTCAACATTTAGTCAATGTCGAAACGTTGAGAAAAATGACATTGACATCATTTTGTAGGCTGACCGCTCTTCCGTCACGATTAATGATCTTCAGCGCAAGACGATTGATTATCTTAATGCGAAGCACCAACCAGACGAGCAAATGGATCACAGAGAGGCGTCCTACCTTGAATGTTTCCCTCGAATCCTGGTACCCCCCATGTATCATGATTGAAACGAGGACATATTGATTCCAGGATATCCACCCCTCTGACCCCGTCCGAGCATCTGAACCCCATCTACGCTAGCATAGTCATAGTTCCCATGCACCACATATGTATTATATCAAAATCAATGATGGACTAGAATCATGTATTTTTGGGCGTGCTTATGCAGAGTGGTTTGATGCATGCAAAGTCACCCGATTCTCGAGAGCCTGTGGGGTCATTTTTATTTCAAGCTGCGCATACCACACGCTCACCATCAAGGACCCAGAGCTGGCATAGCGCTATCGCGAAACGCACGAATTCTATCACACCCTCTCTGGATTTAAAGTCTTGGCACTTCCAAAACTTACACTGGGTTAAAGCTTTTGAGTTTACGATTATAGGCTTCCCCATGACTGCATTGTCCCTGGGAGCCCCCAGTCACATCAGCGGGCTCGACTGTTATCAATATATGACTCTCATACATAAATAAGTACCACGACAAAACCTGGAATAAATAAAAACAAATTCTCCCGCTCCCTGCACACTACCCCCCCTCCCCCATCGCGAATCAATCATATCGAGCATCTCCTGCGCTATACACTACTGCTGGTTGACACATGGACGTGCTCCTGAAAAGCAATTGAAGTCATAGTGGTTGCCGTATCAGAGTTGGCCACGAGCTCAGCGTGATATTCTCGAACACCGAGGATCAGGCGTGGTCCCAGCACATACAATTCCACAACCTGGAATATTTGAACGAAACCATAATAAATCTGAGCTTCCGGGGAATATGGGTCCTATAAAAATGATGGATGATGGTCGCATGCAAGTAGAAGTCGGTGACAGCTCGACATACCGCTAAGAGCGTTGAAAAGATGAAACCGATCTTGAAGGAAGAGATAGCCAAAAAACTAGCACGAGCGAAACATCAGCGGAAAAAGAGAACCGCATTCACATTATGAGCTCACCTCACAAAGTAACTCACATGCGTTTTCATTAGCACCGTGAAACAGTCACCGATAATACCTCTTGTTGAGTGTTGTCGCAGTTCACGGAAGTGCTTTACAGCGATCCAGACCGCGAGACACAGTGCAAGGACCTCCCATACAGTAAAAAGTATCCAAGTCATGGAAGTGAGAAATATGAAATCTCCCCCGGAGTCAAACATGCACTGATAGGTGCCGTAGAGAACGAATTCCTCTGGTATTTTCAATGAGGCTGATGCACTTGAACATTTCATACATAATTAAAGCTTACCCCCTGAAATCTGCATCATCCTTATTGCGACCATCACTACGCTGGCGACTCTGATGGCCAGAAAGATGACGACGAGAAATATCAGCACCTTTCTTGATCGCTGATACATGGCATGTAACCGAGTGATCATGATGACTTACATGGTCTTTCAGTCAAGTAAATGTCACGGAGGTGCATAGCTCACCGCCAAGTATTACATTTACAATGTCAGCCATCCAGTAAAGCCCGTCGTTTACGATAAGGCCTGACAAATGCAGCAACATTAGTTATCAGCTTCGGAAGATCACAGGGTCTAAACAGACTCACAACTGTAGGAGTCATTATGTTGAATCAACGACTTAATCGAGAATATCACTCACCCCTGCATGGTAGTTCAGTGTTTCGACAGGCATGGAAGGCATCAGTGTGGAATACTCACTGCATCTGTCGTCGAAATAGTCGGAACACTAACTATATGCCGCCCGTCACAAGAAAGAAACAGAGACTATGCGAGGAGACAGACTCAAGATGTACATCCTGATTGTGAGAGATGGATGATGAGAGCAACATCAATGACTTAAACATTCAAACGTACACAACATATCCTATTCCAACATAGCGCACCTAGGATATTCTGAAGTCAGCAAAACTTGAACTTGCTAAACATAAATACTAAAACACAAGGTACATACAATGAGATAGAGAAAGGTCATCAGGGACCAGCGTTGCCTCTGCCGCGAACAAGTTTTATTTTCACGTCGTTCTTTCGATGTGGGAGTCCGCTCACCCAGATCAGTTTAACCTATAACACAATTCTAAGCGAGTTGGCTCCCCCAGTCATCGGGATTGACGTACCTCTTGTCCAAACGTAAGCGCTGAGAATACCATAAGGATATCAGTGGTCCTTTTATACTTAATCTTGCTCACCCCAATCGTACATTAGCCCAACAGAGGCGGCAACTGCGAAATTGGAGTCAAGGTGAATCAAATCATCACTGTCATCATGCGGTTGACTCGCCACGAACCTGCAAAATAGCTGAAAACAACACTCATATTGATGAGTGGCCACCAACTGGGATTGTTCGAGACTAGGGTCATACTATTAGAGGAGCGAGTGAGCGGGAGGATTTGGTGGACGTATAACGATCGCATTCGTGCTTGTTATACCACAATCCAGCGCTTACATTACCAAACTGAGATTTGAAAGCTTTTGAAGGATGATATCTGATTGATCGAAGTAAAGTGTTTCAGCCTAACTTCCAGTAGAAAATCAATGTGGCATCCAGGGATACCGCATCGAAGAACCGTCCAAAGTTTAGGTTAATTGTGAGACCTTCATGTCGTAATATGACTTTATATTGCTTTTAGCGACGAAAATGACACCCGGAGCTCAACATGATACTCAACGATATGCACAGGGTTAGCACTGCGCCTCTACGCGTTTCGATACTAGTGACCTAAAAGAGAAACAAGAGAGTACGGAGTGTATCAAGGGTAGTTATGGACATGAGCGGGCGGGCCCGAACAGGTCTAAAAACGAGTACACTGGTTCAGTGTGCAAGCATAGCGCATCGGACGAAGCTCTTAGCTGGTTGATAGCAAAGATAGTTGATGTTGGATCGAGAAGTTGTTTGATGCAGTGCGACCTTGACCCGGGTTATAACTGGAACCGTTTAACGAGCGGTTTGAGACGTATTGTATCTGACCTGATGCAGTCCGGCCTTAACCCGGGTTATAACTGGAACCGTTTAACGGGCGGTTTGAGACGTGACCGTTTTGGGACGGCCAATTGAGCGACTTGACAGACTGTCATGATTCATCGTCTATTCCAAGAGGTGTGGGAATCTACATTTTAGAACACTGGCGTAACTTCGAACACGCATTACGTAAACGATAACTGAAACGCCTGAAAATTAAATCAGGGAAGCTGCGTGAAGCGATCGATCAGCGGATCAAGTGAAGGTGATGAGATCAACGGAACAACTAAGCTATCAATGTGCGTGAGGTATGTGAACAGCCGTACGAGTTCGTTTGGCGGGCATAGAACCAGCAGTTATCGTTTACGTAGTACAGACCTGTACACAGGAGGGGAGGGGGCGTGTTCGACGTTACGCCAGCTCAGTGTTCTAAAACTTTGTAGATTCCCACACCTCTTGATTCGTACCTTGTTTGCTCAGGAATTGGATGATACCGCAGGAACCCGCATTGAGCCCGCGTTATCTTTCAACGTGCAAATGCCAGTGATACAGTCACTCTTCCGCGCTATCAGCGAGGCTCAGCTCGCGATCCACCACCGTGACGATGGTTTCAGAAGAAAGCACTCTGCTGGTGGCCACCGCGCATGAAGCTATTTATGACAGATTCGCGCCACATAAGAAGAGGTGGATCGTGTGTCTTGTTTCATTTGTGGCTTTGTTGCCTAGTGAGTATTGGGAGTTAAGGTGTACTGCTGATGCAGAGGCGCAATATTGATGAACATTGGTCAGTGTTCGTCAAAGCAGCGTTCTTGCCTTCCATCCCTCAGATAGCTAAAGATCTCGACTTGACGCATGCTGTCGTCAGGTGCGTGTTGTATGCTCATTTGGTGTAATATTTGATAATCGAGTGATTTCCCAGCCTGACCTTCAGTCTATCGATCTTGGCGAGTGCCGTCGGATCATTGGTTTGGGCTGCTTATTCGTCTTTCTGTGCGTGCATAGCGTGTGAACTCGTGGTACTAACAGCAGTCTCGCAGATGGACGCCGATCGATATATTTGTTGGGGATGCCGTTTGTATGCGTCGGGAGCTGTGGCGTTGCATTATCGACTTCGTTGCAGAGTCTGTTATTCTGGCAATTCTTGCAGACGTTTGGATGCGCTGGGGCGTTGTCGCTGGGGACTGGTGTGATTGGTGACATTTATGAATTGAGAGAGAGGGGAACTGTTATCGGGGCATTCTTTGGTGTGAGGGATCATGATGATTGAATGGTTTTTGTCGGTTTGATATTGATACACCTATCTCAGGTCACACTTTTCGGGTACGCTGTTGCCCCATTTGTGGGAGGTAAATATATTCTGGATGTTTATGACTGCTGACTCTAGTAACGCATTTGAACAGGTTTAGCGACACAGTATTGGTCCTGGCGCAACTTGCACTACTGTCTTGGTGCATGGGGCTTGCTCGAGATGCTTCTGGTATACCTTTCGTTTCCTGAGACGAGCCATCCCGGCACACTGGGGATTGATAAAGTAGCGCGCAGGAGGTGGATCCATATCACATGGGTAAATCCTCTGAGCAGTCTCTGGTTGCTTCGGAGTCCGAACCTATTCGCGGTTGTGAGTTCATTTACCATGCGCTAGTACAGACTCTTAATTCTGTGAGATGTAGATGTTTGCGGCGACTCTGGTGCTCATCAGTAGCTATGGTGTGTTGATACTTATTACTGACCGTGCAGTGCATTCTCATATGAAACAATGTAGTTCTCCTCCTACAGATGGCGTATACTGTTGTAAGTTGACGATCGTCTTCAATCTCGCATCCTGATCGCGGTATAGGGCATCCGGTATGGAATCACGAACGATGCCATCATCGGGGCATGTTTATTCCCAAACGGACTAGGAAGCTTCAGTAGGTGTGGAGCATTGTACTCGCAATCCACTAACACGATCTTTTAACAGCCGGATCTCTGGTTGCTGGCCGCCTATCGGACATTGTAGTCAGAAAATGGCAGGAGAAGCGCAGAGGAGTGTGGTGTCCTGAAGACCGCTTGAGAGCAACGTGGATCGGAGGGCTGATCATGGTCCCATTATCTATTGGGGCATCGGGGCTGATCACGACATATATTGAGGGCTCGATCGGCCTTGCGCTGAATATATTGTGTCTTTATGTGAATGGAGTGGGGGTAAGTCTTGCCAGCTAGATCCTCTCACCCCGTGCATAAAGTAATTCACTGATTTTTATAGGTCGACTCGGTGTTGAGTCCCATTAGTTCTTATAATGTGGATGTGGTGCATTCTAGAAGCGCAGAGGCCGCAGCTGCTCACATGTCAGTCTCTATGATATTGCGTGACTATTAAACTTGAAATTGTTGATTTCCCTGTCAGGGCGAGCAGGTGGCTCGTTATATCTGCTGTGACTGCCCTTGTCATTCCATCCATTGAGCGCATAGGTGTTGCGTGGACGAACATCATCATGGCTATCCTTGCGGTCATTGGACAAGGGTAGGGGTCTTTTTTTCACTACAAGATCTGGGATACTGACATAGAACTGCCTCGAATTTTCTTTTGTAGGATCATTTACTTGACGATTCGTTATGGCGATCGCATGAGGGCAAGCGTGGATGTTGGTTTCTCGACCATGGAGAATAATTGACAGATCGATCTTTGTTTCTCTGAAGGGAAGTAATGTATTATAATCAATACACGTGGAAATGTATATATACTCGTCGTCATTGCCAATGGGCTGATCTTTCATAATTTATAACAGCTCAGAGCCGCCTTGAGCGAAGCCGATGCACTACGCCAGACGCCGGAGGTGGAATTGACCTAATCATGTCAAGTTGGCAACAACTGGACGTTCAATTATACCTGGAACTTCGTGCTGGCAGGGGTATGTAGCAGCTTGCGACAAATCATGGACTGACATCTTATGTATGCTTCAGGTTAATCACTGGTGAGTAAATCTGAGAGGTGAGGTATGCGGTCGGTTTCTCTTCGGTGGCTTGAGTTGGGTTGATACCATGATCTGTGCTAGTTGCTAAGTGCTCGTTGAATGCTCTACAAAGTTAGCGCTCTTTAAAACCAACAATAGACCGAGGGCGCTGGCAAAGATTTTGAACATCTTGCACCCTGTGAAAGACTCGTCGGGAAGAATGGGGAAGAGCACATGTTATGAGTGGTATGTTAAGATGACTCGACCGGGGACCCGAGGTAGGCTAGATATCCCTTCATTGATAGACAGACCATATAGACGTTCGTTCTCCTTATTTAGAACAGATGCTAAAAGGTTGTGTAAAGCAGTTAATGCAAAGCTTCGAGTCAAGGCGTAAACCATAGCTTCGGCGCTACACGCCGTAAGGGTTAGGTTAGCGATCCCAATTTGGTAGCTTATATCATTGTTTGGCTGCGACTTGACACACCTTTTCAGAACTTGACATCGTAAGAATTGAGCACGCGACTTGTGATATCCATTATCCATTACATACAAGGGTCCCATCGTACTTTGTTTGCTTAGGAACTGAACCCGCATTGAACCCACGTTATCTTTCAACATGCAATCGCCCTTCCGCGCTATTACCGAGGCTTAGCTCGCTATCTACCGTGATGATGGTTTCAGAAGAAAGCCCTCTGCTGGTGGCCACCGCGCATGAAGCTATTTATAACAGATTCGCGCCACATAAGAAGAGGTGGATCGTGTTTCTCGTCTCATCTGTGGGTTTGTTGCCTAGTGAGTACTGGGAGTTAAAATGTACTGCTGATGCAGAGGCGCAATGTTGATAAACATTGATCAGTGTTCGTCCAAACGGCGTTCGTGCCTTCCATCCCTCAGATAGCTAAAGATCTCGACTTAACGCATGCTGTCGTCAGGTGTGTTGTATGCTCATTTGGTGTAATATTTAGTAATCAAGCGATTTTCCAGCTTGACCTTCAGTCTATCGATCTTGGCGAATGCCGTCGGATTGTTGGTTTGGGCTGCTTATTCGTCTTTCTGTGCGTGCACAGCGTGTTGTGAACTCATGGTGATGTTTGGTTCTAACAGCAGTCCCGCAGATGGACGCCGATCGATGTATTTGTGGGGGATGCCGTTTTTATGCATCGGGAGCTGTGGTGTTGCACTATCGAGTTCGTTGCAGAGTCTGTTATTCTGGCGATTGGTGCAAACGTTTGGATGCGCGGGGGGGATGACGTTAGGGCATGGTGTCATTGGTGATATTTATAAATTGGGAGAGAGGGGGACTGTTATTGGGGTATTCTTCGGTGTGAGGAATTATCATGATTGAATGGTTTTTCGGTTTCGTTCTGACACAGCCATCTCAGGTCACACTTTTCGGGTATGCTGTTGGCCCGTTTCTTGGAGGTAAATATTTTCTGGATGTTTATGGCCGGTGACTCTAGCGATGGACTTGAACAGGTGCGGCGACGCAGTATTGGTCCTGGCGCAATTTGCATTATTCCATTGGTGCATGGGGCTTACTCGAGCTGCTTCTCATATACCTTTCGTTTCCTGAGACGAGCCATCCTGGCACACTGGGGCATTGATAAAGTGACGCGCAGGAGATGGATCCATATCACATGGGTAAATCCTCTGAGCAGTCTCTGGTTGCTTCGGAGTCCAAACCTATTCGCGGTTGTGAGTGCATTTACCGTGCGCTAGCACAAACTCTTAATTCTGTATGAGATATAGATGTTTGCATCGTCTCTAGTACTCATCAGTAGCTATGGTGCGTTGATTACTATTACTGATTGTGCAGTGCATTCCCACATAACAGAATGTAGTCATCCTCGTACCGATGGCATACACTATTGTAAGCTGATAATCGTCTTCCATCTCGCGTCCTGATTGCAGTATAGGGCATCCGGTATGGAATCACGAACGAGGCCATCATCGGGGCGTGTTTCCTACCAAACGGACTTGGAAGCATCAGTAGGTGTAGAGCATTGTACTCGCAAACTACCAATACAATCTTTAACAGCCGGAGCTCTGATTTCTGGCCGCCTGTCTGACATTGTAGTCAGAAGATGGCGGGAGAAGCGCAGAGGAGTGTGGTGTCCCGAAGACCGCTTGAGAGCGACATGGATTGGAGGGCTGTTCATGGTCCCATTATCTATTGGGGCATCGGGGCTGATCACGACATATATTGGGGGCTCGATCGGCCTTGCGCTGAACATATTGTGTCTTTATGTGAATGGAGTGGGGGTAAGTCTTGCCAGCTAGATCCTCTCACTCCGTGCATAAAGTAATTCACTGATTTTTATAGATCGACTCGGTGTTGAATCCCATTAGTTCTTATAATGTGGATGTAGTGCATTCTAGAAGCGCAGAGGCCACAGCTGCTTACATGTCAGTCCCCATGATATTGCATGACTATCAAACTTAAATCCTGTCAGGGCGAGCAGGTGGCTCGTTATATCTGCTGTGACTGCTCTTGTCATTCCATCGGTCGAGCGCATAGGTGTTGCATGGACGGACATCATCGCGGCTATCCTTGCGGTCATTGGACAAGGGTAGGGGTTTTTTTTCACTGCAAGATCTGGGATACTGACATAGAACCGCCTCAAATTTTCTTTTGTAGGATCATTTCCTTGACGATTCGTTATGGCGATCGCATGAGGGCGAGCATGGATGTTGGTTTCTCGACCATGGAGAATAATTGACAGATTGATCTTTGTTTCTCTGAAGGGAAGTAATGTATTATGTGGAGCACAGACAGGAGAGCCACGCGAATTGGTTCCGCGGGATCAAACGTTCCGTCCTTACATATTGTAGATATGTGGAGCAATATACTCGTCATCATTGTTGATAGGCTGATCTTTCATAACGGCTCAGAGCCGCCTTGAGCAAAGCTGATCCACTATGCTAGACGCCGGAGGTGAAGTTGACCGAGAAACTCAATCTTGTCAAGTTGGCAACAACTGGACGTTCGATTATACCTGGAACTTCAACGTGAATGGCAGGTGTATGTAGCAGCTTGCGGCAAGTCATGAATTGACATCTACGTATGCTCCAGATTGATCAGTACATAGTGAGTGAATCCGAGAGGTGAGGTGACATGTGATCGGTTCCTCGGCGGTAGCCTGAGTTGGGTTGATACCGCGATCTGTGCTTCGCTGAATGCTGTGGGCATCTACAGAGTTAGCGCCCTTTGAAACCAACAATATCATACCATCCTGAACACAGACAGAGGGTGCTGGCAAAATTTTTGAACATCTTACGCCCTATGAAGGACTCGTTGGGAAGAATGGGGAAGAGCACATGTTATGAGTGGTATGTTAAAATGACTCAGCCGGGGACCCGAGGTAGGCTAGACATCCTTCCATTGATAGACAGACCATAGACGTTCGTTCTCCTTATTCAGAACAGATGCTAAAAGGTTATGTAAAGCAGTTAATGCAAAGCTTCGAGCCAAGGCGTAAACCATACAAAGAATAATGGTGTCGTAAATTGAGTGCACTGTGCGCCAGGAGAAAAATATAGATGAATAACCTACGGCCAGCCGCCTTCCTGCAATACCATTCCACCAAAAAAGAAACAGATGAATGATTTATACTGTCCGACAATGTGTGAATCCGTGTACATGAGCTCCGCTTAGAGGAAGAGAGTGAGGCAGCCCGCCATAGAGACAAGAAGAGTAAGCGATACAGCGATGTTCTTGATGGGAGAAGCAGACCCAGAGCTTGTGCAGGTTACTAGTAGGCAGGGGCGTCAAGCCAATCAGCTGCACCAAATTCGGGTTATCTAAATCCCTCTTCTCCACCAAGTTCTACGACATCCCAGCTATCCTCCTCCAGGATACATTCGCTCCTCATTCCCCCATTGCCGGCTTCTTGCACTGAACGTCCCGGCCATAGTCATGCCACCCGAACAGGACTAACAGAAATAGCTAGAAGGACCTGAACCAAGTCGAGTGTGAACGAGGGAGGTGTTGGAGACAAGAGGAGCGGGGTGTGCAACGAACTATAATGATATCAATTAGAGAACGCCAAATTTAGATGACAGAACGAATAAACAATAAGGCAGGAATCGAGTGCCGAAGGCTTCAAAGATTAGTAAAAGGAAGCTTACCGCCCAAGCTCTCCGCGACAACATACAGCACATAAATTACCCAATACATCGCCTACCTACTTCGGATAAGGGAATCCGACGCCTTGGGTATGAGCGAGAAAACACACGTTGTAAAGAAGCACGGCAAAGCCGGTCGTGAATGATTGGGTTTGGGAGTGGGCTGGTGCCTGTTCTGGAGCCTCTGAGTCAGTTAACGATGTAGGTGTATATGATGGCAAGGAGGAGGGAGGTGTCGATGATGCTTTGGAGGTTAGGTGCAATGGTGTTCGGTTGTCCATCTATGCGTGATGCGAAAAAGTCAAGCAAAAAATACGGTAAGTGACGAGAGACGCACTTTGCCCATGATCATTTACTCCCTCGTCCTGCATCGATCCGAGGTATACCAACCCCGAGTCTTCTGCCGGCAAGACACAAAACTTCATAAGATAGTTTGATGCCTAGGTAGAAAGTAAGGAGTGTGAACATTTGAGAATTGAAGATGAAAGGTTGGCAAAAATGGGCCAGAAGACAGAGCAATGGTGGAAAGAAAAGACACGTGAAGCAGTACATCCAATTGTACGAGACCCTGCAAGCACCTAGAGAATATGGAACATGATTTGGATAGTGAGTTCCACCTATTTTAATTTACACCGTTGACCACCCCAGTACGCCAAAGGCAGTTACTAGGGGACGAGGAAAGCACCAAATATTCACGTACTCTTCGTCGAACAAACGGACCCGGTATTGTTTACTTTGTCCCTAAATTCGCATGCAACAGGACCAATGCCAGCCGTTGATACAATAGATTGTGTCAAGTTTATTGTGCTTGGCTTGAAGCACCATAATCGCGACACGACCTATACCCTTTGAGCACGTTCCCGAGTCAGATGGAGGCTCCGAAGATGAGAAAAGTGTTGCATAACATGCATTTAAACCCCGCTGGACGGGGCGTAGCTATTTTGATGCGGTCCTGCCGCGCCTGCCGCAGGTCGTGACGCGGGTGTGACGCGGCATTCACGCGGCTACTAAATGCGCTAGTGTAACTCATTCCTATGTTCTATACTCGACTCTCACATCAAGTTGAATGGGTTCATGATCGTTCCTTCGTTGATTTTATTCACCATAGGCACATATACTACAAGCTAGTCATCAGCTAATGACTATTTTCTTGGCACTGACGAGCCTTGACGCGGGAAAGTTGTCTCAGACGCTTTGGCAGGGTCAATGACTTCACTAATTTTTTTTGACGCGTGTGACCTGAGACCGATAATGCTGTTGACAACCTTTGAGGAGCGCTCTTGGCAGCCTCTTGCTGCATCTTCGAGTTCGGCTTGAGAACGTGGATCCTCGGAGTCGCAATCGGTCCAGAATGTAATGAATGGTTGAGTAAATCCCACTCATTCAGCCTTGCTTCATGAGTCGATTACATTACCTGTTCTACTTGTCGAATTTGAGTTCGCAAAGAGCATCAGTGAAACGGCGCACCCGAGCGGTCATAGCAGGAAATCAGGTCCCCAACCAGCGGTTGATCTGAACGATTTTGATCCCCTCTCTCACTGGAATAGAAAAAATTGAATACATGTTGGATTAATTCCTAGAGTATGGTGCACTCCGTATCTCAAAGCACTCACAAAAGGCATGGGTATATAGATTTTCAACAGCGCGATACCAGTTCTGCCCTAGGACCATAGGAGTGGAGGCTGGAGTAATGATTTTTTGGAGTGCCACTGTCCGTAGAATGCTTGTATATCTAACTTACTAAGTGACACTGACAGTTATTGAAATGAGGTTTGACGCGGCATGTATAGGTGTGACGTGGCATGGATGAGGTCTGACGCGGCCGTGACGCGGCATTGACGTGGCACAACTTGATTGACGCGCCTGTGACGCGGCACTGACGCGGCATGTGCTATGCTTGACGCGGCATAGGAAAGTGTGGAAGTTTACATTAGTACAGAGGCTGCGAATATGTTGGAGAGAACTTGTCGTGGTGTGAGTAGTGCTTGACCCAGCCTGACTGAAGCTTGACATGGCATGGTTGGGGGGGCTTGACGTGGTAGTACAGAGTACAGAGGCTCCCGGACTTGATCAAGTGGGGTCGAGACTTGACACAGTGATACGATATTTCACACTGCTGTCTGAAAACAAACGTTGGATCAATGATTAGATCGATCAGAGACAATACAATACAAACACAAGAGGCACAGAACATTCCCCAAGAAGTACGAACACGGGCCGCCAGGATCAAGCAAATTGGTGAGAGGTGAATGCTGCATTTCAGGGCCTGTACGCAGATGGACACTCATATATTGATCATTAGCGAGGATTCAAAGTGTTTGGAATTCATTTAGAGCGACGTAAGATAGTGTTTGAACATAATCTGTACCCTAGTATTTGTGACGGGGCCACGTCACATAAGACGCGTTACGGGCGCGTCACGACCGCGGCAGGCGCGGCAGGACCGCGTCAATTTCACCTGGCCCCGCTGGACGTAGCCGAACTTGACGCAGCGCTGGCGAAACCGATCTCCATTATACATACCAGTGTCCTAATCCACATTAACACAACCCTTAGCAGCCAATGCACTCGACCATGTAATGTCCATAATGTCCGTGGGAGAGATGACGGTCAAAGGAGCGGAGCTGGCTACGTGTGATGACGCAGGCTAGAAAAGGGCCCGACCTGGTCCTTGATTTCCGGCTCCCTCTCGGACGCTAGCACACACTTCCATTCCAGACTCTCGTGCTAGGCTCAGACTGGTTTGGCGGGATGAACGTAATGCAGCGTCTTCGGACCCGAGCATCATGATGTCATGATATATAACTCTTCCGCGCAACTTTATGTGAGGTCGCGCCCGCAATTCACTGTGATGGTTTCAGAAGAAAGCCCTTTGCTGGCGTCTACCACGCATGAAGCTATCTATGACAGGTTCGCGCCCGACCAGAAGAGGTGGATCGTATTTATCGTCTCTTTTGCGGGTCTGTTGCCTAGTGAGTGCTGGCAGTTAGAGTGTACTGCTTATATGGTGGTGTGATGCTGATGAACGCGAACAGTGTTCGTCTCATCGACATTCGTGCCTTCCATCCCTCAGATTGCTAAAGATATTGGCTCGACACATGCCACCGTCAGGTGCGTGTTGCATGTTCATCAGGTGTAATATTTTTTGGATTGAGCAATTTTCCAGCTTGACTGTCAGTCTGTCGATCTTGGCGGCTGCTGTCGGATCATTGGTCTGGGCTGCTTATTCGTCTTTCTGTGAGTGCATCCATAGTGTGTCGTGAATTCGCCGTAGTTTCGATTCCTAACTACAGTCCTGCAGATGGACGCCGATCGATGTATTTGTGGGGCATGCCATTTTTATGCGTCGGAAGCTGTGGTGTCGCGATGTCGACTTCATTGCAGAGTCTGTTATTCTGGCGGTTCGTACAGACGTTTGGATGTTCTGGTGGAATACCATTGGGTGCTGGTGTTATCGGTGACATTTATAAATTGGATGAGAGGGGGACTGCTATTGGAATATTCCTTGGTGTGAGGGATCCTGATGATTGGATGCTTTTGTCGGTTTGGTACTGACTTGGCTGTCTCAGGCTGCACTTTTTGGTTTGGCTGTTGCCCCGTTTCTTGGAGGTAAATATATTTTTGATGTTCATGCATGCTGACTCTAGCGATATGTTTAAACAGGTGCAGCGGCGCAGTATTGGTCCTGGCGCAATTTGCAGTATTCCATTGGAGCATGGGGCTTGCTCCAGATGCTTCTCATATACTTTTCGTTTCCTGAGACTAGCCATCCTGGCACGTTGGGCATAGGCAAACTAACGCGCAGAAGATGGATCCATATCACATGGGTAAATCCTCTGAGCAGTCTCTGGTTGCTTCGGAGTCCGAACCTATTCGCGGTTGTGAGTGCATTTCCGTGCGCTAAATATAACTCTTAATTCTCTGAGATTTAGATGCTTGTGCAGTCTCTGGTACTCATCAGTGACTATGGTGCGTTGATATTGATTGCGCGGTGCATTCTCACATGAAACAATGTAGTTCTCCTCGTACCCATGGCGCTTACTATTGTGAGCTGATAATCACCTTCCATTTCGCATGCATCCTGACTGCTGTATAGGGCATCCGGTATGGCATCGTGAACGAGGCCATCATCGGGGCATGTTTCCTCCCAAACGGACTGGGAAACTTCAGTAAGTGTACACTACGGTAATCGCTGTTCACCGACGCTATCTTTAACAGTTGGATCACCGATTGCTGGCCGCCTATCTGACACTGTAGTCAGGAGATGGCGGGAGAAGCGCAAAGGAGTATGGTTTCCGGAAGATCGCTTGAGAGTGACGTGGATCGGAGGGCTGTTCATGGTCCCGCTGTCTGTTGGGGCGTCGGGGCTGATCACGACATATGTTGGAGGCACGATCGGCCTTTCTTTGAATTTATTATGTCTTTTTATGAATGGAATGGGGGTAAGTCCTCTCAGCTACGTTTTCTTACCTGTGCACGACGTAATTTACTGGTTCTTACAGGTCGACTTCGTGCTTAGTCCAATTTCTTCTTATAATGTGGATGTAATGCACTCTCGAAGTGCGGAGGCCACAGCCGCTAATGCGTCAGTCTCAATGATATAGTGCGGCTATCAAAGTTGAACTCAATCATTTACCTACCAGAGCGGCCCGGTCACTTATTATATCCGCTGCGACCGCTCTTGTCATTCCATCGATCGAGCGTATAGGTGTCGCGTGGACGAACATCATTGCGGCTATCCTTGCACTCATTGGACAAGGGTGAGTTCTTTTTTTGATTGTAAGATATTGAGGATACTTAGCTTTATTTTTCTTCTTAGGATCATTTTCTTGACGATTCGTTATGGTGACCGCATGAGGGCCAGTGTGGATGTTGGTTTCTCAACCATAGAGAACAATTCATAGATTGATCTTCGTTTGTTCGAAGAGAAGCAATGGATTAAAACTAAGATTTGTGGATAATACATTCGTCAAATTGCCAATAGACTCATCGGCTCGGGGCCGCCTTGAGAGAGGCCGATGCACTATGCTAAACGCCGGTGGCGCAGTTCACCAGGAAGCTTAATTGCGTGCTTAGTCCTGGTGGACGCAAATCGATTGGCCGCATTGGGTGCAGCAGGCACGCACTCACAATCTGCAATACCGCTAGATGGTTTACCCGTCACTTTGATTTTGTCTGCTACGTATCTATCTGTTGAACGCAGCGATAAATAAGGTAGCATGTACTAGTGGTCAATAATCTTTATCTTTGCATCTAGTCCTTTTACTGTTGCCTTGTTATAGATGTCTTTCTGTGCCGCCCATCGTCGGGTTGCTGCCGTGAAGCAATCACAATAGTACTCCGCTATCCCGAGTTGGCGCATGGGAATGTGTATAGGACATCTCGCTCGCCGGAGGAGGATAAAGTAGGCGCGATACGTCAATGAAGTATGGTCATCAATGAAGCGCGCGATTTCATTGCATTCACTGTGAGCCAATAACTACTAGCCTACCAATACTATTTTAATGTCATCTCCAGCTTTACGTGCAGGGTACCATCGGAGTCTACATATTTGGTGTTGCTAAAACAACGCAATCAGTTTAAATCTTGGAGAAGGGTCACGAGATGTGATGTGCCGGATTGGTAAAATGATGGTGCTGATCGAGCTGAGGAAGCGGGAAGAGAGCGACTTACTCGTCCATCACCCAGTCGGTTGACATCTCCCAACAATAATTGATACGAACGAGGTCCTTGCCGCCGTCGTATTTTATCCTAAAATTGGAGAGCAAATACAATGGCATCAATACGCTATGACTGTAGGTGAGTCGTAAAAATTTAAAGCTTACCCATGAGGTACAAGTATATCTGGTGTACTGTTTATAAATTGCAGCGCTGGAGATGGGGTGGCACAGCCAGGTTTCTCGTGGGCCTCGATCACGATCACACATATTGGATACACCGGAAAGCTGTGCTGAGAAAGATTAAATCCAATGTGGCATTTTCCGTTAGACTTCATGGGAATTTTCAACGACCATATACGACCTGCAGGTATTGGTGTCATCCTCAGAGTGAAAAATGGACCACATACCCCCCGCAACAAATTCTACACTTACATCCCGTGCAATGCGGATGCGTTTCTGGAACTTCCTGATCCGGAAATGAGCAACAAAGTGGTTCTCGCCTAGTCCGTCCCCCGATTGCACCTGAACGTCAGTCTGGTGGACAACCTAAAGAACGTCTCAAAGGCCCGTCCTTGGCTAATTAGTGCACCAAAACATTTGGTTGATAATCTTTTGGTGGGCATCACTACTTACGATTGGTATTTCCTCAAATTTAACTGTGCAAATAGTGCTTGATCATTGGTTATCATGCACGCAAGACGCAGGTCAGAAGAGCAAACGGACGAAAGTTCGGGCGTGAATTTCAGTAATGCTGTAAAGGCTTCTCGCCGTTCGTTCACGATTGCCCAATACAGCGCCGTGTGCCCTTCGATGTTGAAGTGTTTGCAGGAAGTCGGAGAACTCTGCAGCTGAGAAAGTAGTAGAGCAGGCGTCGACAATTGGGGGCGACAGAGAAAGGGGTCAAATCAGGGGCAGAGACAATGTCAAGGATGCAAGTTTGAAGAGTACTTGCGGAATCTTGCAGGTGTAGATTCGGAAGTTGTGGAGTATGGGGGAGGTGCATTGGACACGGACTTGCTATCATCAACAACTTTGGATGATTTAGAGCCCATGATGGAGGTGTGAGATGGAAAGGTACTATAGGGGTTGCTCGCGCTAGGACAGACGGACTACCAAATAGTACTACTTCCAGATTATTGGCCAAGCAAAGGTAACACGTCATATGCATGATCTTCTGCGACAACGTCACTGTCAGTTCCTCTGCCATGGTGTTAATTGTCATGATGAGGAAGGTTGACAGTGGATATCTTGACGTAGTCGAAGAGTCGAGCGCGGGGCGGAAAATTCTGTGAGTCGACTGTCGGTAGAGTGGTCGACAACGCGGCCTAGTTGATCTTCCAAAGCTTTTGAGAGGTGTGAGCACAGAGCTCGGAAGATGTCTCGTCACCAACGCTGCTGAGCGTTGCCGAGCGGAGTTCGAAAGGACCGCAAATTTCTCACCTTAGAACTGTGTCCAGACTCCGAATTGGCTGGGCAGAGGCTGGGCAGCCTGGGCCATGCATATGCGTGGGATTCGCGCGAGATTTTGATGCCAGCTTCGCGCCTGGAAATTGTCGGTCCCAGCTCCGTTGGGCTTTGCAGTCCTACTAGTGTCGGCAGCCACGATTTCACGGCAACCGTTCTGGCAATGATTCAGGTGATCATCATGACCAAGTACTTTACGGTTGCTACTGTAACTCACTGCTTCACAAGCACATGATGCTAGTATCTTTGACGGCTCCCGTTGAGCTACTTAGTAGGCTGCTGAAGTGCTCGAGGGATGTAGCGCGAATAATTACTAACCGAAGTATGTGAATCAGACGATGGCATATGCGCCTGCCGGGCTTATTACCAAACGGAAGGAAGACGGGGGTCCCGACGGAGAACAAGTACTGCCAGGATGCTGCTGGGGCCTGGGCACTGACCACTAGCTAGTGGCATGTATCATTCATGCAAAGTCATGTGGCCCTAATTGCCCCATTTCCAAACGGCAGTGATTAAAGCAAGATATCGGTACCATCATGTTCACCATTTGCCACGAAAAGTCTCTCACCACTGTCTTGTCCGTTGTTTTCCATCTATATCAAATTTCTTTCTTCCTCAGAAAAATGGCCCCCGTTAGTCGCGAGATTGATACCCCAGGAATCAGTTGCGGGGCATACGCTCCGAGTCCAGGGAACTTGATTCTCCATATCTCCTTGACAGCAACACCACGACTAAATCTTTGTGTCGAGCCTATTCACATCAGTGTAACGAAATTTTCAAAGTGACATCATCAAGCTCGGGCGCCATTCTTCCTAGCAATGATGTACTGCGAACGACCGAAGGTGGACTCGTCATGCGCGAGCTTCACAATGTAAGGTAAGCACTCCCTAACCATGGTCCATGAATAAACTGGGGGTAACAGCGCATCCTCATGGATGCCGCAGTTCCTCTTACTCACGGCCAAAAACAGGCTACCCGTCCCGCTATGTCGGTTTTCATCCAAGGTGTGCGCACAACGAGTCGATTTTTTAGTTATTCCTGTCGTCATTTTTTCACGTAAGGGGGCGCGTTCCATACGGTTCAGCCTTCTGAGGATGAGATTAACCATGTGCTCACCTTTCAGTACAGTGTTTCAGGTTTACCAACACATATATAATGAGCTTTGAAATGTAGTATGATCATTAGCCTCCAGCACCGTTCAATCATGTTTCCAGCTGCATCCCTATTGACGACTCTCCTCCTGGCCTTGTCCATCGCGGCATCGCCTGTTGAGATCCGCAACTCCCCCATCACCCTCCCCATCGCCAGGAGGCTAAACACCTCTGGTGGTTCCATCAACATCTTGCAGCACGATCAATCTCGCGCGGCTGCCCTCAAAAATGTCGGCGAAAACACCCTCAACCGTCGTACTGGTAGCATTGCTGTGACAAACGATGCTGTGGGCTACATTGCAGCAGTCGGCGTTGGCAGCCCCGCCACAACCTGTGAGTTCAACACTGAGGAAACATACGGCTGCTGATATATTATTGCAGACAACTTGATTGTTGACACCGGTAGCTCGAATACATGGGTTGGCGCCGGCACTGCGTACGTGAAGACCAGCACCAGCGTCGACACTGGCGAGCCTGTAGAAGTTACCTACGGTTCTGGCTCATTCTCTGGTATGACATACAACGATATCATAAGTTGAAAATACCTACGATTATCTATAGGAACTGAGTACACCGACACCGTCACTCTCGGTAGTGGGCTCACCATCACCGCGCAGTCGATTGGTGTTGCTGCTACTTCGACGGGCTTCACTGGTGTTGACGGTATCATTGGCATCGGGCCCCTAGACTTGACAGAGGGGACCCTGACAGATGAACCGGACTACGACGATCCCGACTGTCACTGACAACCTGTATAGCCAAGGCATCATTTCTGAGATAGTTGTTGGTATCTCTTTCGAGCCCACCACTACGGAGACAGACACCAATGGAGAGCTCACCTTCGGTGGAACTGACGCTACCAAGTACACGGGCGACATTGCATACACGTAAGTTGCTGCAGCTCGGAGATCGATCCAGACTGACAGTAATTGCTTATTTCAGTCCTCTCACCACCACCTACCCTGCATCCTACTACTGGGGTATCAACGAGAGCATCACTTACGGCACCACGACCATCTTGTCTGAGACGGCTGGTATTGTTGACACTGGCACTACCCTCATCCTCATTGCCACCAGTGCGTATCTCAAGTACAGCGAGTGATCTTAATCTGATCAGTGTTTAATAGACGCCTTCAGCAAGTACGAGTCTGCAACCGGTGCTACTCTGGACAGGACGACTGGTCTTCTCCGCATTACCACCACCCAGTACGATGCCCTCGAGGACCTGAACTTCAATGTTGGCAGCGTACGTCCTTCCTGTCTCGAGTCTTAATACCCGTTGTTCACCATTTTGCACTAGAACACCTACGCTCTCACCGCTAACGCCCAGATCTGGCCTCGTGCCCTTAACACCTACCTTGGTGGTAGCGCCGACTACATCTACCTCGTTGTCAACTCCATTGGCACTCCCAGTGGTGAAGGTCTCGACTTCATCAACGGCTACACTTTCCTTGAGCGCTTCTACTCCGTATTCGATACCACCAACTCCCAAGTCGGTTTTGCCACAACCGCCTACACGGATGCCACCACCAACTGATGCAATTTTTTTCGTTGGGTATTGGGTATTTGTACATCATAATATAGCATTTCTCACAACCTATGGTCCAAATTGTCTTCTGGAAGCATTTCTGGAAATAACTGTGACTGGAGTCGTAGTTGAACATTCGAATGTTAGCTATTGCTGTCCCACGAAGACACCCCAGTCCCCCTTGCCCGAAATCGTGAGACCATCCACCTAGCGTAAACTGATCAATCCAAGTCTTTAAGCATCTAGATTCAGAAAGTGCTACAGAAAGGAGGAATGATCTTCCAATAATCAATCTTGGGGACACTGATTGTTCAAGCTCTTCCGTGAGATATGTATCTATGCCGATACCAGCGAACTGCAACAATGAATGACTGTAGTTACAAACCGTTGATGTTTTGATCACGCACATATGTAACGTCGACCAATGACAAGTTGGAGAGAAGAAGAGCTGCTCACAAGGAAGCTGATGGTCTGGTAAACAGGTACGCGTGTGCCAGCGTGCGGTCGATGGGTTCTTGCATTCTTTGCGAGTGCGCTCGAGAGAACTTAAAAATCACACAACCCAGCTGCGTTGTCGCCAGCTTGTTGAGCGCAGTTGAACGTGCTTTCAAGTTTGAAATGTCACCTTGAAATTAAAGACAAGCTTGCCATTGGCCCCCTCCGCCAGGGCAGATTGTCCCGCGTGGGCAAGCCAGCATGCTTTGGTCAATTACTAGACGGGGTAGAGGCGTGGTGGAGGAATGACTCGGAGTCATGGCAGCAACGAGCAGCAGGAGAACCGCTACAACATGAATGATCACACCAACAGAAAGATGCAGTGCATGAGGCGGTATGGTACAGCAGACGGTGACAGTCATCGAGCTACTTAAAAGATACTAGCTGCAAGCATCACTTGTTGTTCTTTTCGATCGTGTTGTAAATGCGAATCCTCGATTTGATGCGAAGAGCACTCTGATTGTTTAGCACATAGTCATCAGTGTTGATGGTATGTATAGTACAACCGCAGCTCGGCTGCGGCCCGCTCCGGCTTGGCGTTCATCAGTTTGCTTGTATTTTGGCTATCCTAGTGAGCCAGGCTATTTATGTACAGTTTGGTTTGGTCTGTTAGCCACCTGGAGTCCCACGAACTAACTGTGAGCCAAAAAAAATCAACATCGGCTCGAGCTAGCTTGAGGCCAGCTCAAGCTGGTTTATAAATATGTGTTGAAGTCTCATTCCCAGTTAGTTTCACTGTTACTCCTCAAGGCCTCGAGGCTCAAGTCATCTCACAGCATACCAACCATGAACCCTAAGCCTCCAATACAAGTTGACGGTTTGCTTCAATAAATAACCACTTAGGAGTTGACCCGGGTCGTCGTGACGACCTTGAATCACTTACATACATGTTGATCTATCTGTTACGCAGCTCCCTTCCTTGGTTGACAAGTGACCACGAGAAAATCTCCAGCTCCTCCATACTCGAGCGCAAGGTCAACACCACCATCGAAGTCTTATGCGATGGAATCCTGTCAAATTTGCAAGTGTTCTCATCTACATGTGCTCTCTTGCATTCTCGGAAGACCCTGACTATGAACATCTTCGTTCATTGCTTTGTGGTCTTCAAGCCACCTTGGCTGCGCCATCTACATGCTCACTGGATCTCAGCATGCCTGATGATCACATCATACATCTGTCAGACATCAGACGTCTCTCATCACCCTCTAATCTCCAATAAACACTGGATGGCCGAAGCGGCCCCATGTCTGCCGGATGCAACACCACTTCACAGATCTACTCGTGTGTGAGTAATTTGTTTCATTTTCCATTCACAATCTAAAGCTAATGTGATTTCCAAGTTTACAACAACATAATGGCTCTCCCATGCATCCAACTGCATCGTGGAAAAAGTCATTAGTTGCTAGATCACGCT